AAAGTGATTTTGCATGTATTTTCTCATTGGATTTTTAATTTTGAGGAGTAAGTTCTTATATCCCTATTTTATGGATGAGGGCACTGAGACTTTAAGTGACTTGCTTAAGATTATACAGCAATACAGTTTGTTAATGGTATAGTGAGAATTTAACCGAGTTCTAACTCAGTTAGAACTAAAGATTTTCAGTTTTCCTATTATCAGTCCCCAAGGTCATCTGACACAACTTCCATCTTAGAGTTAAGAGTGAATTCTTGGCTGGTATGAGGGCAGTGGTGTTTATAATTAATTGATCACAACCAGTTACAGATTTCTTTGTTCCTTCTCCACTACCACTGTTTCACTTGACTAACTTTTAAAAAAAGTGAATTTCTCTACTTCTCAATTTTGTCCATATTTAAGAGGTGAACTGGTTAGGGGGTAGAGGGAACAGTTTTCAAGAGACCAAAAGCAGTTGTTTTGGAAGCAAGAGGAATAATCAGGATAATATCTACAAGCAACTTTTGCCAAATACATAATACTAAAATCACACGTAAAATTCTCATTTAGAGGAAGTGGCTATATTTCTCCAGTAGGGCCTAAGTCTTTGGGCAGCATCTGCTGGGGATGGATAACTCGAGAGTTTACTTTTTAACAAATAAGTTTTTCAGGGTGGCGCTCGTAGCTCAGTAGGTAGGGTGCTGGCCACATATACCTAGGCTGGCAGGTTCCAACCCAGCCTGGGCCAGCTAAACAATAATATACAATAATAGAATAACAAAACAAAAAAATAGCCGGTTGTGGTGGGCACCTGTAGTCCCAGCTACCTGGGAGACTGAAGCAAGAGAATTGCTTAAGTCCAAGAGTTTGAGGTTGCTGTGAGCTATGATGCTACTGCACTCTATTGAGGGTGACATAGTGAGACTCCGTCTCCAAAAAAAAATCAACAACAACAAAAATAACTTTTTCAATTTAATAAGCATGTACTAAGAAAGCACCATACTGTTCCAGGTATTGTGTTAGGTACTGAGAATATAGAGATGAATAAGACTAGTTCCTGCCATTAGAGTGGCTCACAGGTTCTTTCCCTGTCCTTACAGTACAGTGGGAATTACAGCTGCTGACCAGGGATTCTGGAAAGCATTGCGTACCTGAGCCTCCACCATGGCGGGCCTAAAGCGGCGGGCAAGCCAGGTGTGGCCAGAAGAACATGGTGAACAGGAGCATGGTCTGTACAGCCTGCACCGCATGTTTGACATCGTGGGCACCCATCTGACACACAGAGATGTGCGTGTGCTTTCCTTCCTTTTTGTTGATGTCATTGATGACCACGAGCGTGGACTTATTCGAAATGGACGTGACTTCTTGTTGGCGCTGGAGCGCCAGGGCCGCTGTGATGAGAGTAACTTTCGCCAGGTGCTGCAGCTGCTGCGCATCATCACTCGCCATGACCTGCTGCCCTATGTCACCCTCAAGAGGAGACGGGCTGGTGAGGGTGTATTGGGGTTGGGGACACTGGAATATGGGAAGAGTTGTGGGAGGTCAGGAATGAGCAGCATAGAGCCTGGAGGGAGAGGAGGCATTGACCCTGGCAAATACCTAGTAGAGTAAGTTACAAGGCCCATTGGAGGTTTGGACTGGGAGAAGGGAAGGGTGTATCTTTTCCTGAAGGACTCCTTCTCCCCCTACAGTGTGCCCTGATCTTGTAGACAAGTATCTGGAGGAGACATCAATTCGCTATGTGACCCCCAGAGCCCTCAGTGATCCAGAACCGAGGCCTCCTCAGTCCCCTAAAACAGGTGAGAAAGTATTAACTCCCTCTAATTTCCATTATCAAGTAAGAGGACATGGATCCTATCATATTCCAGCTTTGCCAGCTTAAATGAAAGGATGTTGTCTCCCCACATCTAGCCCTGGAAAAAAATCAGGTAAGGTGTTAGCGCTTCACATAGGTCCTGTATTTGCTCGCATTGTCTTCCTTTCAGGTCACGTTATTGATGCTGCTTTTAGTGCTCAGTCTAAATGATTCCTTCTTCATTCCAAGAGAAGGGTTTGAATTTCTGCTTTTACCCTACTGTGTTTTCTTCTCTTTTAAAACTTCTCGTCAGTGCCTCCTCACTATCCTGTGGTGTGCTGCCCCACTTCGGGTCCTCAGATGTGTAGCAAGCGGCCAGCTCGAGGGAGAGCCACACTTGAGAGCCAGCGAAAACGCCGGAAGTCAGTGACACCAGATCCCAAGGAAAAGCAGACATGTGGTGAGGAAGTTCAGGGGTTCCAGAGATGGAACAGATTTAAGGGGAAACAAAAAGAACTGCAGAGCAGTTTGTTATTCAGTGCAAGGCTTACTTTGCCGTTGCAGAGTGAGGCTGAATGGTTTAGTCTTTCTGGCAGGTGAACTCTTCTTTATGTGCATGGCAGGGTACATTTCAACTCTTTTTAGTTAATACAAGAGGCAAAGGAATGCCACTATGATGTCCTTATTGTAGGATGAACCAAATCAAGACAGTATTAAAATGAACTTGTGTGCCTAGTTAGAAATATCTCCTATAAGCAAGGTGCAGCTTGTGAGTTGGGAACAGTATTTATTACATGGGTATTTCTCATTTAAGGGCACCTCCTACATTCAGGTAGGGATTTCAAAGATATGTAGAAACAACTAGTCCTGGGGAAAAGGTAGGGAAGCTGTCAGGTGATATCCCTTACTTTCCTACTCTGCTGTTCTTTTTAGTTTTTCTAACTTGGGTTGTAACTCATTTCTCACTGTAACCTTTTTTCTCTACATCTTTTTCCCATAGACATCAGACTGCGGGTTCGGGCTGAATACTGCCAACACGAGACTGCTCTGCAGGGCAATGTCTTCTCTAACAAGCAGGACCCACTTGAGCGCCAGTTTGAGCGCTTTAACCAGGCCAACACCATCCTCAAGTCCCGGGACCTGGGCTCCATTATCTGTGACATCAAGTTCTCTGAGCTCACCTACCTCGACGCATTCTGGCGCGACTACATCAATGGCTCATTACTAGAGGCACTTAAAGGTGTCTTCATCACAGACTCCCTCAAGCAAGCTGTGGGCCATGAAGCCATCAAACTGCTGGTCAATGTGGATGAGGAGGACTATGAGCTGGGCCGACAGAAACTCCTGAGGAACTTGATGCTGCAAGCATTGCCCTGACCTCTTTCCCTTCTCACTTCTCTGGGGACTGTTCGCACTACCCACCTCTGGAGCTTACATACCGTTCTGGGGTTTGTTCTCTACCCTTCCAACGAATCACATCCCTGCCTTTTTTTTTTTTTTTTTTTTTTACAGGACTATACAAAGGAAAAGTGGAAGTGGTGTTCCCTACCCCTCCCTGCACCCACGTGCCTGGGCCTCCCCTTTGTTTCCCTTTTCCCCTTATCCCTGAATGTGTGTCTCCACAGCCACCTTCCCACTGAGCCGTAAGAGAAATGTATAGGGAGAAACAAAGTCTATACAACATAGTCTTTGTGAGGGATTGGAGTGAACACTGCTTTTGGGTGCATTGAGGGGTTATCAATACTTCTGGCTTTATGAGGGCTCTTAAATTTTGTCTAAAAAACCAAAGGGCTTGTGAGTAAGGGAGCTATGTGGAAGTTGGGACTCTGAAGTGTATTTTGGAAATTACTACCCTCTTCCAAATTATAGAATTTTTAAAAAACACAAGCTGTGGCCCTTTCCACTCTCTCCTGGCCTCTGGTGCTGCTCCTCTTTGCCTTCTTTCCTCCATTCCATGGCTTGAAACCTATGCCTGATATGGCTCCTTCCTTTTTCCCATTTGTCAAACCCTCTTCAAGAGAGAAACCATTAAGAGGACTGGGTCAGCCTAGTCACCCCTCCCATCTGTGGTGTGTGTGCACGTACACACGAAACACAGGGTGGATGGAGAAGAGGTTGCTGATTAAAATACACTCCCCCTGTAAAGGGGAAGGGGGAGTGTGATACTTTCCTTCATGTTCAAGTGAAAATAAATAATATACCCTGCAGCCCTTTCCCCCTTTGCTTTCTTTTGGCTTGGGCTAAGGGCATCATCATAGGTGAAAATGAAGTAATTCAGTATCAACTTTTTTTTTTTCCTCCTCCTTCCTTTACCCCTTCTCCCATTCCCATGCTTGGGAGAAGGGGGGCTGGAAGATGCACTGAGTGTTGCACTTTTGTTTAGGTAGGGAGGCCTATTGAATGAGCCAGGAGGCCTAGAACTGGAGCCTAGCCCAGCTGGTACAATACCACCTCCCCTTCCAGTTCCCAAAGGAGATGTCCAGACTCAGACTTTATGATGATTATATATTTTTTCAATGCCAGTGCTGCTCAGCCCTCAGCATAACTTCAGTTTTCATGAAATAAACAATGACTATATAAAAATTCCACCTTTCTGAAACTGAAATCTGAGCTCAGGTGAAAGTTTCTTCTTTCCCAATAAGCCAAGCCTGTGTTCCATCAAAAGTCAAGGTTCTCCAAGTGAGGGGAGCTCTGCCTGGGTCCAGTCTCTAAAGACACAGCAACGCCAGCTAACATGGGGTCTCAACTCACAGATGTTAAAAGTCTTAAGACGGCAGGTGGCCTAGATTGCCATAGAGATCAGGCCTGCGGTGCTGGAATACAGGCAAGTGTTGGCGCAACTGTCGCAGATAGTTGAGGTCGATCCGGGCAAGGCAGAGACCTGGCCCCTCAGAGCAGCGGGCCACCACTGTTCCCCAGGGGTCTACCACCATGCTCTGGCCATAACTTGCTCTCTTCTCATGGTGGCGTCCACACTGTGCAGCTGCCACTACATAACACTGGGTTTCAATGGCACGGGCCCGCAACAATACCTGGAGATGAGATGTGTGTGGCAGCGTGCAGGGACATAACAGGCCAGTCTACCCACTCTGACCATTCAGATAATAGCCTAGGAATGATTTACTGTATTAACTATTCTGTAACACATGAGAGACAACTATTTGGGGAGTGAATTTTCCTAGCAGGTAGGAAGGAGAAGAAAATCTTTTAACTGGTGGGGCTAAAGGAGGAGAATGAGGTAAAAAAGCACTTGTGTTTTGAAGAGGTATCTTCTTACCTCCCAATGGGCTGGGCCTGTAACAGATCCAAAAGCTGAAGGGTAGGTAAGTATTTCTGCTCCAGCTTGAGCCAATGACAGAGAGAGTTCAGGGAATCGCATGTCATAGCAGATAGCTAGACCAATCTGGAATGAAAAACAGCCTTTCCTGTCCTGTTTGTCATAGGATCTAGTCACACCCCATTATCCCACTCCTTAGGGCTTTCTATCCTTTACTACCACTTTATTCCTATTCTTGTCCCTCATTTTCCTCTCCCACCTTCATACTCTCACAACTCCCACCTTGCCTGCTGGTGTGTCGACTGGTGACTCAAGAGAGGGCCCAGGCATGGTAGAGTTGCTTTCGCGCATAGGCCCCTGCCCTGGAATCTCTACATCACACAAATGTGTCTTCCTGTAAGTGGCCACTACTGATCCTAGAGTAAGAAGAGAAGGAATACTCAATGCTGATGCCCAGCTTAGCTTCTCTCTTCGCAAAGGAGGAGAGAGCTTATGGCTAGAAACAGAAGTACAAATTCCCCTAAAACCTTGGAATAAGGAAAAAAATAAGAGAAAATTCTGGAGAATCTAAGTTTAGGCAGAAGAGCTTGGGAAGAGGCAGGCTGAAGGGTTACAAAGTCTCACCCTTGCTATTCAGAAGTACATGACAATTGTAGATTTTCTGAGTCTGCTCCCAGTCTTGGCCACGCTCATGGAAACCACCCAAGGACAGCCAGAGTCCACATTCCCTAAGGGGAGGGGACACTGGACAACTCTTCTCTACCATCATAACTGGCAATCCAAGGACATTAACCAACAAAGATTCTACCTCTCCCTCCCCCTTCCCCTGATACCTGGCAAGCTGGGTATATTCTCCCAAAAGGGTCCCACCCAGTGGCTCAGACAGGTGCAGCGTCTCTGCAGGGTCCCGTGCAATGAAGTCAAATGCCTCAGGTAGGAAAGCCAGGCAAGCACCCAGTCTGGCAGCTTCTCGAACCAGCTCAGCACATACTTTAAAGTTCTGTTGCTTGTCTGGTGTGGATGTTACCTGGCACACAGCCACCAGGGGCAGTTCCCAGGACGAAGAGGAGCTAGCCATGGCTCTGGGCCTGTGAACGCCACAGGCAGGATTCTCCGATTTCCTAGCACAGGGAAACTCAAGTTTAATGGTAAGAAGCTCAATGGGTAGGCAAGAAGTCTGGACTCTTGATTTTGCTCTTACAGGGCACCCTGACCCAGGGCTAGTGGGGCTCATCAAATGTTCCATGGATGGCTGACATCCGTGTCTCTCATTATCTATGAACAAACATTTATTGAGCATCCACTATGTGCCAGGCACTGAGGATACAAAGAAACATGTTACCTGGGCTGAGCACAATGTACTGAGAGTCGAGGTATCCGGAGTCCAGGACACAGAAGAAGGGACAGAAGTTGGTGAGGAGCCCTGGTGATGAATCCCAGCCTGAGGAAGGTGAGAAATCAGGACACCAATCCCCTCCCTTTCTAGGATTCTCTGACTTCTCCTTACATATCGTGAAGCTGAATCGGGGCCCTGCCAGTAAAAACGCCCAAGTCTTCAAAAACACTGTACTGTTTACTATAATTATGGGCTAGAAGAAAGGATCATTAAGTAGGAAGATGGAGGAAGAGGCTCTGGCGCCTGAACGCCTCAACTTCCAGTGATCTCACATTAATGTGAAGTGCCTTTCCCCTGCCAACGTTTCCGCAGTTCAAATGTCATCTCTGGGAAACTTCCTTGGTTTTCCCAAGCCTCTCTTCTTGACTGTGCACAGCTTTACTGACTCGAAGCATATCTGCCCCCTTACACCAGAATCTCTGAAAAGTTCACTTTCCCTCGTCTTCCACCTCCCCCACCAAGGTGGGCAGGAGGCACAGGAACCCAGATCCCAACCCGCACCCCCACCCTCCAGTTAGCCCGTCCTTCCCGGCCTCGTGCAGGGGCAGCATTTCAGGTGCACAAGTTAAGGCACCGCAGGTGGAATTCACCGCGGCCGGCAGGATAGGCAGTAGGTCCTACATGAAGATACAGCCAAAACCATTCGAAGGATCCGATCCGAAAAGCAGCCGTGAGCCAAGTGCGCCGCAGCAAGTGGGTGGTATCTTCCAGACCGGACGTGACGCAGGCGGAGGGCAGAACTGCGCAGGCCGGAAACCCAGCAGGCGGCAAAGATGGCGGAGAACAGCGGTCGCGCCGGCAAGAGCAGCGGGAGCGGCGCGGGGAAGGGGGCGGTGTCGGCCGAACAGGTGAGAAGCCGAGAGCACGAAGGAGGGCACCTGGCTAGCTCCGGAGTCGATGCGATGAGTGAGAGCCTGAAGTTTATGGAGATCTTTACTCCAGCCCTACATTTGCGTGGCTACCTATGGAGGAGAGGGTACTTGGAGAAGGTAGACGAGCCCCCAGGGAGAGAGTAGGCGGTTGGGTAGGTGAGAGCCACGCCTTCCTGAGTACTCAGTATCCTCCCTGATACTGAGTGAGCCTGGAAGATAGGACAGCTCAGAGATTCAGGGTGTGGAAGGATACACAGGTCTGAGGGCAGATGGTGGTCGCCTTCCCATCTCTCCTCTACACTATCCACCCCACCCCTCGAACAGGATGTGGCTGCGCAAGGCAGCAGGAAATTAATCCCAGAGGATTAGTTAAGGGGCTGGTTGTATAGTCTGTTACCTGACCCTGAACCCACGTTGAGAATCGCCCACATGCTGCAGAGCCACGTGACTCACATATTCAAACAGTCCAGTTGTATACTGTTTTGATTCAGGAGTTCCTTGAATTTCTTTCTTTCTTTCTTTCTTTTTTAGAGACAGAGTCTCACTTTGTCGCCCTCAGTAGA